TAGCTCCCATATGTTGGGTAAAACTGGACAATAATCAGGTTAGCTCCCATATGTTGGGTAATACTGTACAATAATCAGGTTAGCTCCCATATGTTGGGTAATACTGTACAATAATCAGGTTAGCTCCCATGTGTTGGATAATACTGTACAATAATCAGGTTAGCTCCCACATGTTGGGTAATACTGTACATGAGATCAGGTTAGCTCCCATATGTTGGGTAATACTGTACATGAGATCAGGTTAGCTCCCATATGTTGGGTAATACTGGACAATAATCAGGTTAGCTCCCATATGTTGGGTAATACTGTACAATAATCAGGTTAGCTCCCATATGTTGGATAATAGTGTAGAATAACCAGGTTAGCTCCCATATGTTGGATAATACTGTACAATAATTAGGTTAGCTCCCATATGTTGGGTAATACTGTACATGAGATCAGGTTAGCTCCCATATGTTGGGTAATACTGTACAATAATCAGGTTAGCTCCCATATGTTGGATAATACTGGACAATAATCAGGTTAGCTCCCATATGTTGGGTAAAACTGTACAATAATCAGGTTAGCTCCCATATGTTGGGTAATACTGTACAATAATCAGGTTAGCTCCCATATGTTGGATAATAGTGTACAATAACCAGGTTAGCTCCCATATGTTGAATAATACTGGACAATAATCAGGTTAGCTCCCATATGTTGGATAATACTGTACAATAATTAGGTTAGCTCCCATATGTTGGATAATACTGTACATGAGATCAGGTTAGCTCCCATATGTTGGGTAATACTGTACAATAATCAGGTTAGCTCCCATATGTTGGATAATACTGTACAATAATCAGGTTAGCTCCCACATGTTGGATAATACTGGACAATAATCAGGTTAGCTCCCATATGTTGGGTAAAACTGTACAATAATCAGGTTAGCTCCCATATGTTGGGTAATACTGTACAATAATCAGGTTAGCTCCCATATGTTGGATAATAGTGTACAATAACCAGGTTAGCTCCCATATGTTGGATAATACTGGACAATAATCAGGTTAGCTCCCATATGTTGGATAATACTGTACAATAATTAGGTTAGCTCCCATATGTTGGATAATACTGGACAATAACCAGGTTAGCTCCCATGTGTTGGGTAATACTGGACAATAACCAGGTTAGCTCCCATATGTTGGGTAATACTGTACATGAGATCAGGTTAGCTCCCATATGTTGGGTAATACTGTAGAATAATCAGGTTAGCTCCCATATGTTGGGTAATACTGTACAATAATCAGGTTAGCTCCAATATGTTGGGTAATACTGTACAATTATCAGGTTAGCTCCCATATGTTGGGTAATACTGTACAATAATCAGGTTAGCTCCCATATGTTGGGTAATACTGTACAATAATCAGGTTAGCTCCCATATGTTGGATAATACTGTACAATAATTAGGTTAGCTCCCATATGTTGGGTAATACTGTACATGAGATCAGGTTAGCTCCCATATGTTGGGTAATACTGTACAATAATCAGGTTAGCTCCCATATGTTGGGTAATACTGTACAATAATCAGGTTAGCTCCCATATGTTGGATAATACTGTACAATAATCAGGTTAGCTCAAATATGTTGAATAATACTGTACAATAATCAGGTTAGCTCCCAAAATTGGATAATAACTGTACAATAATCAGGTAAGCTCCCATATGTTGGATTATACTGTACAATAATCAGGTTACCTCCCATATGTTGGGTAATACTGTACAATAATCAGGTTAGCTCCCATATGTTGAATAATACTGTACATGAGATCAGGTTAGCTCCCATATGTTGGATAATACTGTACAATAATCAGGTTAGCTCCCATATGTTGGATAATACTGTACATGAGATCAGGTTAGCTCCCATTTTTGGATAATAACTGTACAATAATCAGGTAAGCTCCCATATGTTGGATTATACTGTACAATAATCAGGTTACCTCCCATATGTTGGGTAATACTGTACAATAATCAGGTTAGCTCCCATATGTTGAATAATACTGTACATGAGATCAGGTTAGCTCCCATATGTTGGATAATACTGTACAATAATCAGGTTAGCTCCCATATGTTGGATAATACTGTACATGAGATCAGGTTAGCTCCCATTTTTGGATAATACTGTACAATAATCAGGTTAGCTCCCATATGTTGGGTAATACTGTACAATAATCAGGTTAGCTCCCATATGTTGGGTAATACTGGACAATAATCAGGTTAGCTCCCATATGTTGGGTAATACTGGACAATAATCAGGTTAGCTCCCATATGTTGGGTAATACTGTACAATAATCAGGTTAGCTCCAATATGTTGGGTAATACTGTACAATAGTCAGGTTAGCTCCCATATGTTGGGTAATACTGTACAATAATCAGGTTAGCTCCCATATGTTGGGTAATACTGTACAATAATCAGGTTAGCTCCCATATGTTGGATAATACTGTACAATAATTAGGTTAGCTCCCATATGTTGGGTAATACTGTACATGAGATCAGGTTAGCTCCCATATGTTGGGTAATACTGTACAATAATCAGGTTAGCTCCCATATGTTGGGTAATACTGTACAATAATCAGGTTAGCTCCCATATGTTGGATAATACTGTACAATAATCAGGTTAGCTCCAATATGTTGAATAATACTGTACAATAATCAGGTTAGCTCCCAAAAGTTTGATAATACTGTACAATAATCAGGTAAGCTCCCATATGTTGGATTATACTGTACAATAATCAGGTTACCTCCCATATGTTGGGTAATACTGTACAATAATCAGGTTAGCTCCCATATGTTGAATAATACTGTACATGATATCAGGTTAGCTCCCATATGTTGGATAATACTGTACAATAATCAGGTTAGCTCCCATATGTTGGATAATACTGTACATGAGATCAGGTTAGCTCCCATATGTTGGGTAATACTGTAGAATAATCAGGTTAGCTCCCATATGTTGGGTAATACTGTACAATAATCAGGTTAGCTCCCATATGTTGGGTAATACTGTACAATAATCAGGTTAGCTCCCATATGTTGGGTAATACTGTACATGAGATCAGGTTAGCTCCCATATGTTGGGTAATACTGTACAATAATCAGGTTAGCTCCCATATGTTGGGTAATACTGTACATGAGATCAGGTTAGCTCCCATATGTTGGGTAATACTGGACAATAATCAGGTAAGCTCCCATATGTTGGGTAATACTGTACAATAATCAGGTTAGCTCCCATATGTTGGGTAATACTGTACAATAATCAGGTTAGCTCCCATATGTTGGATAATACTGTACAATAATCAGGTTAGTTCCCATATGTTGGGTAATACTGTAGAATAATCAGGTTAGCTCCCATATGTTGGATAATACTGTACAATAATCAGGTTAGCTCCCATATGTTGGATAATACTGTACAATAATCAGGTTAGCTCCCATATGTTGGATAATACTGTACAATAATCAGGTTAGCTCCCATATGTTGGGTAATACTGTACAATAATCAGGTTAGCTCCCATATGTTGGGTAACACTGTACAATAATCAGGTTAGCTCCCATATGTAGTGTAACACTGTACAATAATCAGGTTAGCTCCCATATGTAGTGTAACACTGTACAATAATCAGGTTAGCTCCCATATGTTGGGTAACACTGTACATGAGATCACCCAGCATATCAAGACAACACACCAACACAAAATAATGAAAAAAAACATTAAAGTGAGGTTTAAGCTGTTTCTATTACAGAAGTTCTTGTGAAGATTGTCAAAGGTAACAGTAAATTATTAATTTTTGTTCAGTCAAACCGTAAAAACACAATAGGTTGTTTTCTTTTCTTCAAACAGCCAAAAATTAAGATTAATTAGTGTAATAGTACAAGCAATCTAAACTTTTTATTTCACTTATTGTTTCTGATTCAAGAAGGATTCTTTTCATTTACTAACTAAAAGATAACTTTTTTAAAATATGGTTTATAGGCCTATAGAATAAATCTAAGCAATATAAATACATGTATGGAATGTCTGTTAAACAATTAAAAAATGATTTATTTAGTTTAAAATAGATTTAACCTGATTCAGAATCTTAATGTTACACAAAAAAAGATTGTAGTCTATTATGTAAATGTTGATAACCTAACTCCGGGTTTTATGGATAAAGAAAACACCAAAAATACATGTTGGAAATTTTTAAATCCCAACTAATTAGTATGAAATAGTCTTAAAAATAAAGCCACATCATGAAACAAACCTCAGTTACAGTTGTCTATTACTTGCGAGATTAGGATTTAAAAAAACAACCATTAAATATTTTGTATCAAATGAATAAAGAAACAACTTTTCTTGTTCAATAAATGATAACAGTCGAGACAGATTCTCACCAACCCTGAATACGGCAAATTGCTCAGATCGCTGCTTCAGTTCCATTTCATCAATCACAATGATTTGACTAATTATAATAATGCATCAACAAGAGCTAGCCACTACCAAAAAACCAGCTTGGTAAATAAAAAGTGCAACCAGCACAGGACCTAGCTTTCAAATACTTCTATACGTGCAGGTAGGTTTCTGCACAGCAGACTAAAGTATATGATGATATCATGGGTTTTAAAAAAGTATAATTTTTAAGATCAAAAAGGAAGGAAAAAAATTTAAAGTAAAATTAGTGGTTAGCCCTTGTAATTATAAAATAATTATAACAATAATTAGCAGTGTATACTATGTAACCTAAAATAATTTATGCATATACATAATACAAATACTTTAGACTAGGTTTTAAAATAGCTAAATTATATATTGGTATAAATAACATTGTAGTATAAAAATATAACTTGAATAAAGAAAACACTAGCAATAGTTATCACAATTTAGCATGCAATTTTAACAAATCAATATAAAGGAACAAACTAATAAAATTAAATGTTGGATGGAAAATATAAATATGGGACGGATCGAGAATAACAGATCAAGAAAACAAGAATACAAGAATCAAATCACTGGCTTGTTAAGGTAAAAAAAAATAGTTGTATTTTACAACATCCATTACAAATACTTGGTACAACTGTGTTGTTATTTAGTCAGTTCAACAAACTGTGTAATCCTCAATAATTGATAGAATTGTGCTATAAAAATTATGTCAGAACAAATAAGGCACAGCATTTTTATTTCTTTGCACATAATAACAAACAGCAATTTAGCACGGAAAATGTGCAGTATTGTTTTGAATATTTAACATTAGAATGTACAGCTTGCTGTGTGTTAAACAGAGAAATCAGTATTTAGATTGGTGCTTGCAGTATAAACAGACAAAAATTGGAATAAATATGGACATTATTTGGTAACACAGGTGCTGTGTCACAGACAAAACTGTCACAAATACAGCTGTCACAAATACAGCTGTCACAAATACAACTGTCACAAATACAGCTGTCACAAATACAGCTGTCACAAATACAACTGTCACACATACAACTGTCACAAATACAATTGTCACAAATACAGCTGTCACAAATACAACTGTCACAAATAAAATTGTCACAAATACAGCTGTCACACATACAATTGTCACACATACAACTGTCACAAATACAACTGTCACAAATACAGCTGTCACAAATACAGCTGTCACACATACAATTGTTACACATACAACTGTCACAAATACAACTGTCACAAATACAGCTGTCACAAATACGACTGTGACAAGCACAACCGTAACTTTCACAAATAAATGTAGAACCAATGCGGGATGAATGCCTTAGACAGGTCAGTTTTTAGCCACCTGTCCAGACCTGTTGATGTTTGTAAAAAGATGAAGAGTGTAAAAAAATTTAAGAACTGTCTGTCCAATGGAATGTCCTGTACTGTTAGTAAAACATACAGTGTCAAAGTATATGTCCATCTACCAGCACAGTGTCAAAGTATATGTCCATCTACCAGCACAGTGTCAAAGTATATGTCCATCTACCAGCACAATGTTGCAGTATATGTCCATCTACCAGCACAATGTTGCAGTATATGTCCATCTACCTGCACAATGTTGCAGTATATGTCCAGCTACCTGCACAATGTTGCAGTATATGTCCAGCTACCAGCACAGTGTCGCAGTATATGTCCAGCTACCCAGCACAATGTTGCAGTATATGTCCATCTACCAGCACAATGTCGCAGTATATGTCCATCTACCCAGCACAATGTTGCAGTATATGTCCATCTACCAGCACAATGTCGCAGTATATGTCCAGCTACCCAGCACAATGTTGCAGTATATGTCCAGCTACCAGCACAATGTTGCAGTATATGTCCAGCTACCCAGCAAATCCAAAACAATCAATGTCACAGCAAATGAATTATGTCAAATTAACAGAATGTGTTGTCGAAAGTCAGATGATTCTAGTCTGAAAGTGTGGTGTTGTGTATCAACTATCAAAAAGAGTGATAAAATGTGACTAAACCACACTAGGGTAGAGTAAATCCACATTTAACAGAGGCCCAATTATTTTTTAAAATCGGCTTAGTTAAGAAATAAAAGCATATTTTGTAAGGTTATTAGATTTAGATCTGGAAAAAAAAACAACTTAAGAGCATATCAAAGCAAGTACTGATGAAGTCAACAGATTTAACAGGTGTTTTTAACAGTTGTCAATTCTTACTTAAGAAAAAAATACTTTAAAATTATGTCCTTCAGCCTCAAGTAGTAAACAGCAGTCTTTTGTAGGAATAATGTATACAACAATATTTGTTTAAATCACGTGATTCTTTTGATGAAGGAGTACAAAATTTTAATGGGGTTTTTTATGATGAGCTTTAGCATTGTACAACTAAAGAAAATTACAAATGTGCTGTCTACTTTTTACAAGTCAGAGAATGATGTCATCAACTCAAGGGAGACAAGTTTTCCCAATGCAAGTCTTGGTTCACCTTCAACTCAAGGGAGACAAGTTATCCCAATGCAGGCCTAGGTTCACCTGTACTGACGCGTCTGCTGTCTGATTCTGGCAGACTGGGCCCTCTGTTGAACTCTGGGAGATGTCAAGTTGTGACGTCTGCTGTCAATCACTGGGGTGTGGCCTCGGAACCCAGTCAACTGGAATTTTTTTAAATTGAAATTATTAAATGCAAAGACAGCTCATTTCATTTTATTTTAAAAACTATTAACACAAATAGTTTCATGTTAAAATTTATTAACAATGCCAGTAATAAATAAATGCTCTTGAGATGATTATTTTTAAAAAAACTTTTAATGTAAGTATATAATGTAAAGTATATAATCTTGCTTTAAATTGGGGTCATCTATTTTAAAGGTCCACAAAGGGTTGGTCAACTTTTGTGATCTTGTGTTGATGATAAGAATGGTGAGGCTTTATACTGTCATTAACATGTTAAATTTAACATTTGCTTTTTATCTATTCAGAAAAATATTATTTTATTCTAAATACAATTGATTTTATAACAAATTTAATTAAAAGAATTAACCTTCTCACAACATGTGCTTGATTTAACCAATGCTGTTATTTTATTTGTATTACAACATTGATCTTATCTCTTACATTAAACCTAACTCTAACCAAAGCTATAATGATATAAATAACCACCTGGAATTATAGTTAATTACTGAGACAAATTTCACAAAGGCAAAAAAAAGCAACAGTAATAAGCTAACATTAAGTACTGCATATTCAATCATCTAAGACACCAGCGACACAGGAAACATTGGCACAGCTTTAAGTGAAAGCCAGGACAAGAGTAGTGAACAAATTGAAGGTACAAGTTCTGGGACAAGAGTAGTGAACAAATTGAAGGTACAAGTTCTTTAGTAATACAGTAATTTTTAGTGTAATCTTAAGAAGGTGATTGCTAAAATAAAATAAAAATTAATCTACTGTGTAATCAACACAAATCTATGGTTCAACAATGATAAATAATGTTTCAACAATAACACATTCAATCAACACAAAAAGATGTTTCAACAATGACACATCCAATCAACACACAAAGATGTTTTAACAATGACACATTCAATCCACACAAATAGACGGTTCAACAATGACAAATTCAATCAACACAAATAGATGTTTTAACAATGGCACATCCAATCAACACAAATAGATGTTTCAACAATGACACATTCAATCAACACAAATAGATGTTTCAACAATGACACATTCAATCAACACAAAAAGATGTTTCAACAATGACACATCCAATCAACACAAAAAGATGTTTTAACAATGACACATTCAATCCACACAAATAGACGGTTCAACAATGACAAATTCAATCCACACAAATAGATGTTTTAACAATGGCACATCCAATCAACACAAATAGATGTTTTAATTATGACACATTCAATCCACACAAATAGATGTTACAACAATGGCACATCCAATCCACACAAATAGATTTTACAACAATGACACATTCAATCAACACAAATAGATGTTTCAACAATGACACATTCAATCAACACAAATAGATGTTTCAACAATGACACATTCAATCAACACAAATAGATGTTTCAACAATGACACATTCAATCAACACAAATAGATGTTTCAACAATGACACATTCAATCAACACAAATAGATGTTTCAACAATGACACATTCAATCCACACAAATAGATGTTTCAACAATGACACATTCAATCCACACAAATAGATGTTGCAACAATGACACATTCAATCCACACAAATAGATGGTTCAACAATGACACATTCAATCAACACAAATAGATGTTTTAACAATGACACATTCAATCCACACAAATAGATGGTTCAACAATGACAAATAGATGTTTCAACAATGACAAATTCAATCCACACAAATAGATGTTTCAACAATGACAAATAGATGTTTCAACAATGACAAATAGATGTTTTAACAATGACACATTCAATCAACACAAATAGATGTTTTAACAATGACACATTCAATCAACACAAATAGATGTTTCAACAATGACACAGAGTAAACCAATGAGCTAGCTACAACAGCTAAAGTGTTTTTACAGCTCATAATGTTTGAAATTGTACAATTCATCTTCAATATGTACGTTTTCAGACAGTTTAACACATTTGCGAACAGCCAATTAAAAAAGATAACTTGCTTCTTATTGATAAAAAAAGGTGGCGCAAGGAGGAGGGGTTGGAGCTTATTTTCACAATTATGTGTACATTAGTGTAATGCTAAAATGTTTGACTAATTTGTTTAGAGTTAATAACATTTTGTATAACATAAGTTTAAAACAAAAAAAAACTATAAATACAAATCTTGTCAAAATAAAATAATTATAAATTGTTTAAATGTTGTTTTGCTTTTTGACAAGAATTGTAATAATAGTATTCACTCATTTAATTTTTAATACAGACACAAAAGCAAGCAAACAGGAAAATAAAAACCACCAAAAAAATTTAATTGGTTTAATTTTTTGCATCTGCATTTATTAAAAAAAACTTTATTTATTTGGAACCACATGGACCATCACACATGGAAATTTAAAAAAAAAAGCCAAAATAAAATGTTGAGAATGTAAAAATGTAAAAATGTCTAGAAAGTAGAGACCAAAATGTGACACAGATTGGATGAGAAAAATCTATCAAAACCTTACATGTCACCATGTCATGAAAACCTCTTCAAAGATGAAACACAAAAAGTATGATTAAAATTAAAACTATTAATAGCTCAGTATGATCTTAAGTATGATTAAAAAAATCATAAAAAAGTTAAGAACTAAAACTACCAATGTTTTTCAATAAGCTAAAGGTTTAGACTTACATGAGGCTGGAAGGGTTGATGGAAATGTATGGTGCCATTTGTCTTGTTTGTATCTGGTATTTAGGAAAACATCAAATTAAACCATGCTAAAACGGATAGTCTCAAGCCTGATAAATATCAGCAGCTTGTGATTTAACTCTTTTATGCTATACATTTAACACATAGAAAGTTGTTTTCAATTCATCAAGCTAGTGCTAACTTAAATGTTCCCAGTATTCATTACTTTAGTATCTACTTTATGTTGATGTTACCTTAAAGTCTGTCACCCACCAAGTTCTAAGTTTAGCATTACCTTTAAGTCGTTCACCCATTTAGTGCTAGAGTCTGGGATTACCTTTCACCCATTTAGTGCTAGAGTCTAGGATTACCTTTCACCCATTTAGTGCTTGAGTATAGGGTAACCTTTCACCCATTTAGTGCTAGAGTCTGGGATTACCTTTCACCCATTTAGTGCTAGAGTCTAGGATTACCTTTCACCCATTTAGTGCTTGAGTATAGGGTAACCTTTCACCCATTTAGTGCTAGAGTCTAGAATTACCTTTCACCCATTTAGTGCTAGTCTAGAATTACCTTACACCCACTTAGTGCTAGTCTAGAATTACCTTTCACCCATTTAGTGCTAGAGTCTGGGATTACCTTTCACCCATTTAGTGCTAGAGTCTAGGATTACCTTTCACCCATTTAGTGCTTGAGTATAGGGTAACCTTTCACCCATTTAGTGCTAGAGTCTAGGATTACCTTTCACCCATTTAGTGCTAGTCTAGAATTACCTTTCACCCATTTAGTGCTAGAGTCTAGGATTACCTTTTACCCATTTAGTGCTAGAGTCTAGGATTACCTTTCACCCATTTAGTGCTAGAGTCTAGAATTACCTTTCACCCATTTAGTGCTAGAGTCTAGGATTACCTTTTACCCATTTAGTGCTAGAGTCTAGAATTACCTTTCACCCATTTAGTGCTAGAGTCTAGGATTACCTTTCACCCATTTAGTGCTAGAATCTAGGATTACCTTTCACCCATTTAGTGCTTGAGTATAGGGTAACCTTTCACCCATTTAGTGCTAGAGTCTAGGATTACCTTTCACCCATTTAGTGCTAGAGTCTAGAATTACCTTTCACCCATTTAGTGCTAGAGTCTAGAATTACCTTTCACCCATTTAGTGCTAGAGTCTAGAATTACCTTTCACCCATTTAGTGCTAGAGTCTAGAATTACCTTTCACCCATTTAGTGCTAGAGTCTAGAATTACCTTTCACCCATTTAGTGCTAGAATCTAGGATTACCTTTCACCCATTTAGTGCTAGAGTCTATAATTACCTATCACCCATTTAGTGCTAGAGTCTAGAATTACCTTTCACCCATTTAGTGCTAGAGTCTAGAATTACCTTTCACCCATTTAGTGCTAGAGTCTAGGATTACCTTTCACCCATTTAGTGCTAGAGTCTGGGATTACCTTTCACCCATTTAGTGCTAGAGTCTAGGATTACCTTTCACCCATTTAGTGCTAGAGTCTAGGATTACCTTTCACCCATTTAGTGCTAGTCTAGGATTACCTTTCACCCATTTAGTGCTAGAGTCTAGGATTACCTTTCACCCATTTAGTGCTAGAGTCTAGGATTACCTTTCACCCATTTAGTGCTAGAGTATAGGATTAACTTTCACCCATTTAGTGCTAGTCTAGGATTACCTTTCACCCATTTAGTGCTAGTCTAGGATTACCTTTCACCCATTTAGTGCTAGTCTAGGATTACCTTTCACCCATTTAGTGCTAGAGTCTAGGATTACCTTTCACCCATCTAGTCCTAGAGTCTAGGATTACCTTTCAGTCTTTCGTTCAGCCTGTCCAGAGATTCCAACAGCCGCTGCTCCTCCACAGAGAGAGCACTATGACCCCCTGAAACAAAAGACAGGATCATGTAGCCCCTAACTTAACTTTCAAAGGATGAGATAGCTGACAGGATCGTATATCAAATCCTTTTGTGATGCATCTCTTTTGGTTTTAAAATGCTGAGTTAACTAATTCAAGGTATTTTAACTAAATATATGATCCATGTGACAGATGTAAACAGTGTATATACCTAAAGTGACAGAGCTAAGTGATGAGCCCTGTGTTTACTACAATAACAAAACTAAACATGACCCCTGTGTTTACATACATGATCCTGTGTTTACCTACATGACCTCTGTGTTTACCTACATGACCCCTGTGTTTACATACATGACCCCCGTGTTTACCTACATGACCCATGTGTTTACCTACATGACCCCTGTGTTTACCTACATGACCCCTGTGTTTACATACATGACCCCCGTGTTTACCTACATGACCCATGTGTTTACCTACATGACCCCTGTGTTTACCTACATGACCCCTGTGTTTACCTACATGACCCCTGTGTTTACCTACATGACCCCCATGTTTACCAACATGACCCCCGTGTTTACCTACATGACCCCTGTGTTTACCTACATGACCCCTGTGTTTACCTACATGACCCCTGTGTTTACCTACATGACCTCTGTGTTTACCTACATGACCCCCGTGTTTACCTACATGACCCCCGTGTTTACCTACATGACCCCCGTGTTTACCAACATGACCCCTGTGTTTACCAACATGACCCCTGTGTTTACCTACATGACCCCTGTGTTTACCTACATGACCCCTGTGTTTACCTACATGACCTCTGTGTTTACCTACATGACCCTTGTGTTTACCTACATGACCCCTGTGTTTACCTACATGACCCTTGTGTTTACCTACATGAGCCCTGTGTTTACGCACACGACCCCTGTGTTTACCTACATGACCCCTGTGTTTACCTCTGGCCGCCATTATCTTAGAGCGGTTGTGCAGCTCCTGTTTACTCTGTGCGTCCTCCATGGCCAGCTGTATGTGGCTGTCGGACAGCGACTGTTTGGCCAGTCTCTCCGCCATCACAAAGGCTGCTGTGCTCTCTGACACTGGAAGACAGGGGAAATGGTAATATACAACGTAATGCTACTGGCAGCTGTATATTACATATGGTATTCATACAGGCAGTTGTATCTTATATACATTTTATTCATACTGGCAGCTGTATCTTATATACATCATATTCATACAGGCAGTTGTATCTTATATACAGGGCATTCATACATGTATCCCATTTCTAAGGTGTCCCTATAAGTAATTTCAATTATACTGTGAACACTGTATCCTTACAAGTAATTTAATCCCTTATAAAGGGTATCCCTATAGGTAAATTTATCCCATAGACATGTAATTTTTTTTTCTATATAAGTATACCTTAATCCCATTTACAGAGTATCCCTATCTTATAAATAGATTCTCTGTATTTAATATCCCATGTACAGTGTACATCAGCCTGCTGACCACACAAGTTGGGAACTGCACGAACTAGTATACCTGACCACACAAGTTGGGAACTGCATGACCTAGTATACCTGACCACACAAGTTGGGAACTACATGACCTAGTATACCTGACCACACAAGTTGGGAACTACATGACCTAGTATACCTGACCACACAAGTTGGGAACTGCATGACCTAGTATACCTGACCACACAAGTTGGGAACTGCATGACCTAGTATACCTGACCACAAAAGTTGGGAACTGCATGACCTAGTATACCTGACCACACAAGTTAGGAACTGCATGACCTAGTATACCTGACCACACAAGTTGGGAACTGCATGACCTAGTATACCTGACCACACAAGTTGGGAACTGCATGACCTAGTATACCTGACCACACAAGTTGGGAACTGCATGACCTAGTATACCTGACCACACAAGTTGGGAACTGCATGACCTAGTATACCTGACCACACAAGTTGGGAACTGCATGACCTAGTATACCTGACCACACAAGTTGGGAACTACATGACCTTGTATACCTGACCACACAAGTTGGGAACTGCATGACCTAGTATACCTGACCACACAAGTTGGGAACTGCATGACCTAGTATACCTGACCACACAAGTTGGGAACTGCATGACCTAGTATACCTGACCACACAAGTTGGGAACTACATGACCTAGTATACCTGACCACACAAGTTGGGAACTGCATGACCTAGTATACCTGACCACACAAGTTGGGAACTGCATGACCTAGTATACCTGACCACACAAGTTGGGAACTGCATGACCTAGTATACCTGACCACACAAGTTGGGGACTGCATGACCTAGTATACCTGACCACACAAGTTGGGAACTGCATGACCTAGTATACCTGACCACACAAGTTGGGAACTGCATGAAAAAAATTAAATTTAAAAAGGGCCTTACAAGATCCTTTCAGTTCATAGGTAAGATGAAATAGAGTTCATCAATTTCCATGGTTATACAACAAGTTAAAGTACATAATCTTAACTTTAAAACTTTCACATACTAACGCAGGGTACAATTTCAGCATTGGATGAGCCAATGACTATATGGTAGTTGCCAGCTTGACAGGTATTTGAGCCATCTAGCAATGAACTAGACAGTTCATATATAATTCAATGTATTCTTTCCCATTTCACCAGTTACAATATGGTATAGCCTTTCAGTTCTATACCAAATAAATTACTAGAAGTTAAGAGTAAATAATCTACTAGTGTAAAATTGTGAATCCCTCACATAATTTTGATATCACGCATACCTTCGTCCTGGGGCTTGTATGTGTACGCTAATGTCACGTGTGCATCTTTCTGCTGAGGCTGTCCGTACGAGACAGCAGGCTGTAAGGCGTGGATGGTGGGCTGGTGCCCGTACACTGCACTGCTGGCCCTCTGGTTGGCCTGAGCTCCAGTGGTGCCTGCAGGTGAAGCAGAGTGGGTGCGGCGCTGCTTCAGCAGACCATACCTGTAGGAGGGTAAGTTTGTAGTATCTTTATGGTAGATTCTTTGACAAACTATATAGGGACAGCAATGTAGCATGAGAGAGTATTTGACTGTTAACCCAAAGTCTAGAGTTCATGTTTTGAGCTGATATAAGATCCATGAGTCTACCAAGCACTGATGGGTAAGTGTCTCATGTTAGGGAAAGTGAAGGCAGCTGGGTTCAGTGCTGACCCTTCATATGATGAGGTCAATGAAACAGGCATGCTCTACTTCACCTGCCGCATGGGCTATAAGGTTTGAAAGGGTACTTTGACAAACTATTATTGTCATGTACACCAATGTAATCTTCTAATTAAGCTTTAACCAAATTTTAAAACTAGCATAAAGTCATTGGACCACCCAATAATACAAAGATCATTTATACAACGGACCTGACCCAAAGCTATAATCACCTAATAAATAATCTAATAAGCTACATGCATTACCTGACCCTAGCAAGCCCACACAACTAACCATAACCCACCCACACAACTGATGATTACCCACCCACACAACTGACCTCTTCAAATAACTCCCCTGTGGTTGAATGACCGACTTGACCTTGTTCTGGGTCACAGCTACTGGAGCAGCAACATGGGTCTGGACGAACCCTGACCCGCCCCTTGACCCGGCAGCATCCACATTGTTGTTGGTGTTCACATTACTACTAAAGCCTGGATCAGACCATTGCATCACAACTATAGCATTTATTTCTACAAGATTGCTAACAGTGGGTCCTAACTAAACAAACCAGTTCAAAACTTGGACTGAGAACTTCACAAAAGACAGAAGGATGAGTCTTGTAAAACAAACAATTAATGATTAATTAATCAAATAGAAGGTGTCTGTAGAATTCTCTGAGTAAAGCTGTTCTACTAATACTTGTTAAGTGTAATCAGCTAATAGGTAAGAAGAGCACTTCTTTGTGTGCCTAACAAAATAGCATTAGTTAAAAATCAAGGTTATAAAGGGCAGTTTGATAAGATACTTTTTACAGGTCATAAAGGGCAGTTGTATAAAGTACTTTTTATAGGCTATGAAGGGCAGTTTGATAAAGTACTTTTTACAGGTCATGAAGGGCATTTGTATAAAGTACTTTTTATAGGCTATGAAGGGCAGTTTGATAAAGTACTTTTTACAGGTCATGAAGGGCATTTGTATAAAGTACTTTTTACAGGTCATGAACTCAGTTGGATAAAGTACTTTTTATAGGCTATGACGGGCAGTTGGTTTAACAAAGTACCTAATTAAAATATTTCGTTATCTTTTACCTAAAGATGTTCCGTCAATCAGTTTGGTGGAGAGATAAGGTGGGGGCCTGGAGCCCGGGTCCCCTGAGGGGCCCCCTAGTGGCTTATTGCCCCCACTGTCCTCCTTATGCAAGCAGCTCCGGACCTTGTCCCACAGCCATGTAATCTCCTCATCCGTGGGGGTCCTGTCAATCCGCAGTCCGTTTTCACCATACACCGCCACTGGTTGGTTCTTACCGCTGGTCGTGGAATATGCCGGAATTGCTGTGTTGGTCTGGGGGTAGGAGATTTTGGTGGACGCTGGGACAATGCTGGTTCTGGTTACCGTGGCATTGGATATCGCAACCCGTCTTGACGCGGTGTCTCGTATTCTGGATCTATCGTTATTCAATGGCCGTTCTTCGTCTCTGATGACTTGGTAGTTTGGTTCAGTGGTGTTGGAGTTTGTTGTGTTGAGGCCAGTCAGTTCGTCGTTATCAAACGCTGCATGGTACACCACACCCTGGGAGCTGGCGGGGACCCTGACTGGGACTTTGGTCATGAAGTTGTTGTTGATGGATTTCACCTTAGCTTCTAACTGGGATTTGTGGGCGGTTGTTGCATGCGATGATGTGGTCTGGTTGTTGTCTTGGTCAGTGGTCACTCCTTTAATATGGTTCTGTGATTCTGAGTTCATGATGATATGAGCGGCAGCTCTCGGCCGATTAATGACTCCGGAGGTGTTCACTGGGTTTGTATAGGGGAGGTTGGATCTTTGGTTCAAGCCGCCAGAGTTAGCAGCTTGGGATTCTGTGGTGTTGGAAGTGTTGGTGTTGGAGGTGTTGGTGTTGGAAGTGTTGGTGTTCTGGTACAGCTGCTGCACGTTTCTAATCTGCAGCTGCGCAGAGTCCTCTTGTGTAGGTCTGATGGTGCCAGCGCTGGCGGTCCTGGTGGCTCGAACAGCTTCGGGTTTTGGGGTGGAGAAATTTTTGGCTGAGGCTGGTCTGTTGGGGCCTGGTCCTGGGGATAGGGGAGGGTAGGCTGGTGTTTCACAGTGGACAGAAATCACATTGCAAATCACAGTGGACAGAAATCACATTCAAATCACAGTGGACAGAAATCACATTCAAATCACAGTGGGCAGAAATCACATTGCAAATCACAGTGGACAGAAATCACATTCAAATCACAGTGGGCAGAAATCACATTGCAAATCACAGTGGACAGAAATCACATTTCAAATCACAGTGGACAGAAATCACATTTCAAATCACAGTGGACAGAAATCACATTCAAATCACAGTGGACAGAAATCACATTTCAAATCACAGTGGACAGAAATCACATTTCAAAACACAGTGGACAGAAATCACATTTCAAATCACAGTGGACAGAAATCACATTTCAAATCACAGTGGACAGAAAACACATTTCAAATCACAGTGGACAGAAAACACATTTCAAATCACAGTGGACAGAAAACACATTTCAAATCACAGTGGACAGAAAACACATTTCAAATCACAGTGGACAGAAATCACATTTCAAATCACAGTGGACAGAAATCACATTTCAAATCACAGTGGACAGAAATCACATTTCAAATCACATTGGATTGAAAACACATTTCAAACCACAGGGGACAGAAATCACATTCCAAATCACATTCGACTGAAAACACATTTCAAATCACATTGGATTGAAAACACATTTCAAATCACATCGGATTGAAAACACATTTCAAATCACAATGGACAGAAAACAAACACATTTCAAGTCATTCAATTAAAAAAAGTGTTATAAAGTTTTAATTTCTATTTTCTCCTATTAGAATTATTTTTTAAATATTTATATATATATATATATAAGGTAATGTCAACATAGAAGCTTAAACATGTGTATAAATATAGCCAGGTAATCACTTATGTAAAATACTTCTCCAACCACATATAAGACTTAAGGCAGAAAATGTGATATCATTTCTGGTGCCTAGTTTTTCCTATTTTACTCTACAGAAGAGCACAGAAATCTGCAAGGAAGTAGGAAAAATAATCAACTTACTGTTAGTAAATTCTATATTTTTTGGAACAAACATTTCGTCATCTTCTTCATCTATCTCAATGTCATTCTCCTCAATATTATGGTCAGCAAAGCGGACACTCTTTTTTGTTGTCTGCAAATTACATATTAAAAAAAATCATAAAGATCTACATCAACGATAGTTAACATTTTGCAAAAACAGTGTGCAGAAAGTATGCTACATAATTAAGACAAGTATTATTTACTTCTTAAAAATACTTTTTACTAGAAGCACTTTAAACCAACTAAACTATAGCTATTCACATTTTAAAATTTAAAAAAAAAAAACCCAACATGTATCCAAGATTTTAAACACAATTCATCACAGTAAAACTTACAATATTTGTTGAAAATTACTTTGTTAAAAAAAATCTACAAATGATTATCCTAACAACATGAAAACGTCTCAACTCTACACAAAGCAACAAGTTTTTATAAAGCTTATAGAGTTAGCTCCTACCTTCCTTTCATTGTGTAGTCTGGCCAGTTCTAAGCTGTCTCGGACGTGAGGTTTGGCATGAACTGATTTATTGTGCTCTGTGTTTAAGTTGGTCTGTTTCAAGATACCCCTGACTGGCCGTAGGTCTTCCGTGTTGTCCTCGCTAGACTCCTCCTTGATGTGAACTTTTTCTATGTAGAAACCTTGCGTGTCGTCTGTTGTCTTGACGTTGTAGTTTGAAGTGGATGCAGGGGTTGCTGTGAATTTAGAACTGTTGATGTTGTTTGTTGATCTACCACTGACAAGTAAGGAAGCCATGTGAGCCTTAAGTAGATCCTCCCTCTCTTCTGTGGGGTGGGTGAAATTGTTCTCAAGTCTAGTTTGATTGTTGGAGACGTTGGGTGTGTCAGTGGCTGGTGCTGCCTTAGACTGAGGTACTTTTTGAGTGTCATTCTGGTCCTGTTGACTGTAGGCTTTGGAGTAGGTGAGGATCTGTTTGTTGAAGGCAGCAAAGTCGTCAAACATACTGGGGGTGTTTAAACCAGAGGGAGGAGGGGACGCAACTGGTTTCTGTGAGCCAGCACTTGCTGGGTTTGTACTTGTTGAAATGACTTGTTGTGTTGCGGTCGACTGAGCCGTCAAAGATGCTGTATTGACTGCAGGTTGCTGTGTGGTGGAGGGTACAGGTAATGTCAGAGTCGTACTTTTGTTGCTATAATTTGCATTCTGGGCCTGGCTTGGAGTTATCTGTCCCGCCCATATAGACGTGCTGATTGCAGACGCATACCTGGGTTGTAGATTCTCTGTTTCATTTCTGTTTCTGTCTTCCCCTACCCCCTGAGACAACTGTCCTTTGGTATTTCTGTCTGGAACATTCTGTTTGAATGTGGGGCTCTTCTCCTCTGAAACCATTAAATTATTGTAAGTTTTATTCTGCTGCTTCCAGAGCTCTTCTTCTCCCTGAGTTTGAAAAGGTTTGGTTCTAGTGTTGGACTGTTGCTGTAGGGTTCTTAATAAAAAGGAACTTGTCTGAGAAACTCCTAATTGTGAAGGTTCCACAGAGATCAATTTCCCTGCACTTGGTTGGTCTGCAGCCTCTCTTTGCTGGCTAATGGTGTTGTGCAACAGCTCACTGGAATTTTTTCCTTTGAAAGAAGAGTACTCAGATTGTTGCTTATGAAGTTGTTCTATTTCCCCAGAGGGTGGTAAGTCTTTCATTGACCCTTGTTTATCGAACAATGCTGACTCAGTGAGATCATGACTAACCCTGTAAGTGTTGCTGCCCTGGCTAAGACTGGGTGGATGGAAGTAAAACTGTTTCTTCGACTGTGTTTCCTCTTGTTTGCATTCCATCTGGCTGGACTGCAGTTTGGGGTGTGCGCTGGCTGGCCTTGAACTTGTGTTCTTGGCCATTGATTTTTCAAGACTGTCAACACTGGAACAACTGTCGTTGTCTATAAGCTGGGAGTCCTCGTACGGGTCTTCGATGATTCCCTGGACCGTCTCGTCATCCTCTATCTCTTTCTTGATGGCTTCATTGAACTCTCTGAGAGAAGACTGTTGCTGCTCCCGGAGCAGGTTCTGCTGGTTGTCCAGCTGCTGCTCAAACAAACTCCTGCTGCTGCTGTAGTTCTGCATGCTGGAGTCTAGCAGCTCTGTCTTGTAGTTCGCGTCAGCCCTGGGCTGAGATTTGCTTGGTGGCGCCAACACAGGATGGTGCCATGTGCTGTTAAAATAAGACCTTTCCATCGGGTCTTCATTTTCATTTTTACTTGAGCCTGGTCTGTCTGGCCCCCCACGGATTAACCTTAACGCATCGTCCAACACAAATCCCTGTCTCCGTGGACTGCGCCTCCCACTCCCCTGTCTGGCGCTAGGTGGCAGGTGGGATCTCTGATATTTTTCAGTTGCTAATTTTTGTTCTTCTCTCCGCTTCAACAAAATTTCTTGCCTGCGTTTCTCTTCCCTCTGAGCTTCTATTTTTCTCCTATGAGCTTGAACTCTGATATTTTAAACAAAGAAATTCAAATTGTAAAAAATGTACAATTATTAATACTCAACATCAGAATGGATAAAATTTTAATTTAACATCTTCAACTAATTTTTTTTTTTTAGTAGTTATCTAGCAAATGTATTAAAATATACTTAAATATTTTTTAAAAAAGACTGAAATCTCTTACTTTCTTCTTTTGTTAGTTTCCTGAGACAACTTTTTGGCTTTAGCTAATGAGTCTAGTCTGTTATCTTCTTCAATAGTTTGTTGTTCAAAGGCTTTAAATTGCATGCTGGACATTGTTAATGGAAACAATATTTGTAAAAGAAAAAGTTCTTCAAATCAACAATAGCCCATTTTTATCACGACTATAAACAAGACATCAGTCTCTCTCAACTGCCCAGTCTTGTCATACAAGACATCAGTCTCTCTCAACTGACCAGTCATACCATACACGAGATAAGCCTCTCTCAACTGACCAATCATATCTGACTAGTCTTACTAAAGAACAGACCAGCCTCTATCAACAGACCAGTCTGGCCTTTCAAGAATTCAATGCGGCAGACACTGCAAAACAACCCTGATGCTACCATCTACTTCAAAGTCAATTAACAGATTGTTGGCAAAATATAAACTTGGGTTGCAACATTAAGATCCCATCCCAAGAAGAAAGATTAAAGCTGTCAAATCTGAGCACCTACAAGAACATCATAAATATACATTTTTATGATAATTGCCCAATTTTAAAACATTTTACCCACTTTGATATTTTCTCATGTGACTTTTTAAAAGAATAAATAAAAACATATTTTTTTATTTGGTTGCATTTTTCTTTGATGCCCATTTTTAAAGATAAGTAAACCATAAGTAAGTAGTTATTATTTAAAACCATACCGAAACATCGCTACTAAAAATTAACTCATAATGTAGAATAAACTCAAATAATACAAATATGAGTACAAATATATATTCTAGATATTATTAGGTGTTAATGATCACTTATAAACAAAAACATAACGAAATTACGTTCCTTTGACAAAACAAAGGGTCATGGTTGAGACTGAAATTATCGGTTCAAAGCGGCTAAGTCTGCAAGCGCACAGATAGACAGTTTGACAGCGAGAGTTTTAGACCGAGCAAACCGGCTATCTTTTAAAAGCTACTATAATTTTGTAAACATTAACAAAACTCATTTTAAAACGCTACAGTATAGTCTGTAGAGAGTTTTTTTGCACAAATACAAAAAATGATTTTTAATTACAGCAATAAAATAATCAGTTTTTTGTCTCTCCTGTAAAAGTTATATTTTTTAAGTTAGACAGTTTTTGACAGAGTCCATCGATTATATATATATATATATATATATATATATATATATATATATATATATATATAGGTATGTATAATGAAAACTAGAACACTCGTGATATAGGCTATATAATTGTTTAGGTTATAAAAACATTGATTTAAAAAAAAAAGCATGAAACAAAATGTTTTTTGGCAAATTGTGTCTCTCTATTTACTTGTGATTCGGCAATATGTCTCGCATTTTCTTCTTGCAGTTTACCTCCTCGCCATATCACATTTTGCAATTTGCCAACACCTTAGAAAGTAGATACGAACGCAAACGTGCAGGCCTAGATGATAGATCTATCCGACTATCACTAAATACATTATCAATGACCAATTATTAAAACCATTTTCATTGGACATAGCCCATAGGGTCCAATCCAATTTAAAAAAAATTTTTTTATAGAAACTTATAAATAGGCTTAATTACTAATATAAATAAATATAATATATCAATATATATTAAATATTGGGCCTATTTATAATTTTAAAATTAAATTATTAGGCTAATCTATCGTCTATAAAAATTTTGTAAGCCTGGGCCCTATGCTATTTTAATGTTTTTTGATAATTTATTTTGTAATTTGGTAATTTAGCACCAAATTTTTCTTTTAATAAATAATAAATACAATAGGCTACATGAGTATGAGTACAGTACAGTACAGTACACTTCAGTACTGAGTACAGGCTAATAAAAATTAGGCTTTTTGACTCGCCGCCATCTTGCAATCCGATCTACATCCGGACTTTTTCATGTGTACTTGAAAAAATTTGCCTTTCTGATGAATGCTAAATCTAGCCATCAGAATCGAAAAATTAAATATATTCGATACTATCATATGCATTGAATTTTATTGATAGAAGCAGCTGCCATTTTACATTACTCGATACTGAAAGCGACCTAACGATGATAGCGAATATCAATCAAAACCGCGCAGTACCGAACCGCTGCATTCAGAACTAAATTTTGCCTTAAAAAAATAGATTAAGTTCAGGAAACTAGTAAATAAGTAATGCCAAACCATTTTTATGGATGGAAATGTTGGTTTTATGGGCTTTATAGCTCTTTATATACGAGATTTTGCTTCTTGTGTGAAGTGATGTAGATCTACGCAATTTTAATAATGGCGGCAGAGTTAGAATTTTCAAGAATTTTCATGATGGCCCATAGGCATGAAATAAAAAATTCGCACATTGGATATTACTATAATTACTGTTTAACAGTGTTTACGAATAGGCAAGATCTAAGCTTATAAAATATCCTTTGATTGCCACACACCTCATCTAGTTTCTGTTAGACTATTTAGAGATTAGCAGATTTAGCAATCCTTGGCTACTTATTAAAAGCAGCCTACAACTACTAATATTTAGATACTTCAACATAATCCTAAACATATCATATTCCAGTATAAGTATAGTACACAGGTATTATTGATGCAAAATTTCAATGCCAACCCCCCCCCCCTTAGTTAGACTTCATAATATGACATTATATGTGATTGTCTTTTTCTTCTAGCATGTATTTAACTTGTTTCTATTCCCAACATCATCCTTAAGCATCTATGTGCTAAGTTTTATCTTTATATCATCAATAACAACATAGATATGCAGTATGAAAAGTGACTTGTGGCAATTATTGTAGAACTGCACCACACGCCTTAATTGGGTTTAATCAAGTTAATTAATAATTATAAATTCTTTTCCTTTTAATTGATCTTTATTTCACTTGCATATTCCTAGTGTCTACACTCTCTAGCACCAATATGCACATTTTTAACATTTTATATGTTTAATAACATCGTTATACAAACCCAAAGAAGGGCACTAAATATTTTGCAACTTTACATTGCACATATGACATATAAATATATGTATTATAAGCTGTTTTACCTAAAACTTTAAAAATTCATATAAAAAACTACTGAGCCTAGAATGATAATTTTTGTAGTCTATTAAATGGCAGATCCTCCTCTTGATTCTCTGTAAAGTTTATCATTCTGTGTTAAATAGAAACATTTTTACCAAAATGTCTATTAAAATTAATTTAAATTTAGCCTAGTAGTTTTTTTTTAGTAAAATTACTAAAATTAGTAAGGCTAGGCCTAATAAAAATAAATAAAGGATACGAATATGCCCCAGCTAAAAGTCTGCTGTCCATGATGATGTTTGAAAAGTAATATATTCATCTGATACTCTCCATGTTAACTTTGTAAGACTAGAAATAAGTGAAACACCACTAGTTATTCGATGAAAATCGTAAATAAATGAGTATGTTTATAATGGTTGGATACCAAATGCCGCCATGTTGTTTTTAGTTACAACCTGCGCAACTATGTTGAATTTTTGTGATCCCTTGTTCCGAATTCAAATTTAAGAGTGTCCGCGATGGAACGAAACAAAACTAATTTCGTAAAACATTAAAGAGAGGTAGTGGGCCTACTAACTCGTCGCGTAGCGGGGAGGAGGGGCGTAAAAAAATGCACCAGCGATATATAGGCCTATCCAATATAAATAAATAAATAAATAAATAAATAAATAAATAAATAAATAAATAAATAAATAAATAAATAAATAAATAAATAAATAAATAAATAAATAAATAAATAAATATAAATATAAATATAAATATATATATATATATATATATATATATATATATATATATATATATATATATATATATATATATATATATATATATATATATATAGGCCTATATATATATATATATATATATATATATATATATATATATATATATATATATATATATATATATATATATATAGGCCTATATACATTATCCATAGATTACGACCTAATCCATTGATAAGAAGTTCGTCTTTCTTTTTATTGCCGTGCATTAGATCCTATGACCTATGTATACATGATCAGTTAACGACTTCAATTTATCCCAGAATGTTTCCATCAATTGTAGCCCTGTGTAAGATTAGCCTAATGAAGTGGCTCTCGATGACTAGAAAATGTACACTTCTACAGTAAGGGGTCGTCCATAAATGACGTCACGCTCGTAGGGGGGGGGGGGGGGAGGGGAGTCCGTAATTTCGTAACGGTGTGTGATGAGGGGCAAGGTGGGGGGGGGGGGCTTCAGTCACACTTTTGCATTATAAAAAACCAATGTTAGAAAACGAATTTTAGACGTTATTTCGCGTTTTAGAAAACTGTTTTAATAAATTGTAATAGAAATTGATAAAAATAATCTACTTTGACAAAGTTCAGACAAGATTTTGGAAAAATATCGATGTTTAAAAAAAATTCAACTGCAATTTTTTTTTGGGGGGGGGGGGGGGGTAGTAGGCTGAGGTGTGACGTCATTTTAGGGGGGGTGTCTCGCTTTTTGTGACGATGTGTGACGGAGGGGAGGGGGGAGGTAAAAATCGTCCAAAAAAGCGTGTCGTCATTTATGGATGACCCCTAAGCCCATTTTTAATAGTGCAATTGATGATTTTATTTATATAGTGCATCCATGAGGCTTAATTGTAAAATTAACTATCAAATAGACATTGCAAATTAGACCATTCATCTATTGTAAAAAATAATTTAATTATATAAACTTGCAATACTTATTTACAGACAACTCAAATAATACTAAGCGAGTTAAATTTTCTATTTCCTCAGTATTTGATGGGATTTGTACAGAACTGTCCGACGCTCGTATACCGAAAGAACATGAGCCACTTGTATTTATGCACAGAGCCGTTTGGTCCTCTGAGCCATGCTATTATTTCCTTTTCACAAAGAGTCTACCTCGAAGTCAGAGTTTCTTCCATGCATCTCCTCTACCGCCCCCCCCCCCCCCCCGAAGAAAAAAGTCTGGAAGAAACACTGCTCGAAGTCTGTTCCAACTTGCGAAAGCTCTACATAAATCTTGGAACTTGGAATGGACTGACAACCCCTCCCACCCCCAATGCTTACGTACGGATTGCACGTACAACAACAGGTTACTTTCATAAACCATTGCACACGTCTTCTTCACAGGGCGCCTAGTCTGTCACATGTTTGTCACCTGGATTTCGTGACGTCATCGCCCACTACACAGACACCACTGACTGCAAAACTTTTATATCCAGAGCCATAGGAGCAGATCAGTGCGGGAGCAATTCTTTTGTCTCCAGATGAAATAACTGTGGTAGACTGCAGGAGTAGGATAATATTGGGAGATAGAAAAACACAGGAACATATTTTCTAAAGATATATCCAGCATAGATCACCAGACGTTTCTGATGTGGACAATTGTATAGTGGGTAAATAAGAATTGGCTATTTTGTGGATTCTTTTACTAGGATAGAATTAGCAATGGCTAACAGACGTGTGAGCACCTTTACATCCAAATAGAGACAGACTTGTAGTTAGATAGCAACAATATTTCAAAGAATGACATTCCTACCCTAAATATTAGGTTTAGGTAAGTTAATGTTTTTAATGTTGCATATGTATAATAGTATATAATCTACAAACAAATATTCATATTTACTTTTGCAGTATGTTTATATATATATATATATATATATATATATATATATATATATATATATATATATATATATATATATATTATTGCCAAAGAGAAACACTCGTTAACGAGACTGTAACAGTTGCTGTCAACGTCTGATCAAAAATGGACTTTACTTAAAAAAATGATCATACGTTTAATTATGTGTCCGAATCAATGGCGTCACTAGGTCGAGTGACAACCGGTGCGCCAACCCTGGGTGTCACCCGGTGCGCCAACCCTGGGTGTCACCCGGTGCGCCAACCCTGGGTGTCACCCGGTGCGCCTACCCTGGGTGTCACACCTCTCGGCTAACGACTGTATCTATGATAAAACTATAAGCAACATGGTGTCACCCGTATCCTAGATGGTGTCACCCCGTGCCAAATGATAAAAATAGGCCTAACTATAACATGCGATATGTAAAAGGAGACTTTCTCATTTAAATTATATTTCGTTTCTGGTGTCACCCGTAGGGGGGGGGGGGCGTGTGTTTGCTGGATTGTTTCGAGCGAGGAGGGGTGGGGAGGCCTGTCAAAGCTAAAGATTAGTGCCAGACTGATGTTTGGTGCTGAGGTTTAAGAATGTAAATATTAGAGACTCTTAAACAATGATTTGTTTCTAAATGATCCCATCAAATTTTCCCTATTTGATATTTCGACCACTTAATAAATCGCAAACGTTGGAACATTTTCCTTGTTTGATATTTGGGCCGCTAAACTTAAATGAATCGCAAACTTTTGAACACATTCCTTGTTTGTAAAAGCTGTTTTACTTAGTTAGAATTTAATGTAGAGCATTACATATTAATTATCTCTGGGTTTTTTGCTATCAGATCGACAAATGCGTATAGAGTAGGTCAACTCAGATGGGGCTATTAGGTCCACTTATGGGTGGTCAGTAGGTCAACTCAGGTGGGGCTATTAGGTCAACATATGGGTGGTGAGTAGGTCAACTCAGGTGGGGCTATTATGTCAACATATGGGTGGTAAGTAGGTCAACCCATGTGGGGCTATTAGGTCAACATATGGGTGGTAAGTAGGTCAACTCAGGTGGGACTATTAGGTCAACTTATGGGTGGTAAGTAGGTCAACTCAGGTGGGACTATTAGGTCAACTTATGGGTGGTGAGTAGGTCAACTCAGGTGGGACTATTAGGTCAACTTATGGGTGGTGAGTTAAAACATGTTGAGCCATTAGGTTATAAAGCGGTTATTAGGTTAGCTAGTGTGATACAATTAAGTCAATTGTGTGTGACTGTTAAGTCAACTATGTGGGGCTATTATGCAACATCATGTTTGTCATTGGTTCATTCTTTTGAACCACTTGTGTGTCAAGTTATGTGGATTTGGTCATACTGTTATCGTTGGTCAACGTGTAGGTGATAGCAGTGGCGTAGCGAGGTCGGGTGTTACCCGGTGCGGCACTTAATGGTGTCACCCCCACCCCCCCAGAGGCGTAGCAACCCTTCCCGGGGACAAATTTTCGATTAGCCACCCCCCCCCACTCAAAATTTGGATTTGCACCCCACCCCTCGAACTTTCGATTTGCACCCCCCTCAAGTTTTTCTCTATATATTTTACTATTTTTTTGCCTTGGTGTCACCCCCCTAAATGCTGTCACCCGGTGCGGTCCGCACCCCCGCCCCCCCCCCCCCCCTCGCTACGCCTCTGGGTGATAGTAAGATATATCCATGTGTATAATAAACCCGGTAAAGTCCTACAGTGAGACAGTAGTCATGTAGAGTAGCGTGATTCGAACATCAAGACTTTCGGAGTTAGCAGTCCCTTGCTTTACCACCTGACCACTCCATTCCCAATTTCTAAAAAGGTTTTATTTTTCTCGTGTCGAATTAGAATCGGTTAATAGAGGGGATTAAGTAGTTGTACTTTCAAATTAGCATCGGCCATAAGGTTTGGCTTGTAGAAAGAATTATTAAGACATTGACTCTCAATACAAGGTTGGTTAATAAATGGTGCAGTGATATGTCCAATACCTCAATACCGCCCCCCCCCCCACCTCTCTGCTAAAAGGCGGTGACCGATTTCAACTAATCTATTGTTGTTTACCCCCACTTGATTAGCACTGTTGCTTTATGACCGCGCGAGTTTAGACTGTCACTTCTAAGAGACGAGAGTCGACATGGAACAGACAAGCAACCACGATTTCATTCATTTCTGACTCATTGTTGCCGAAAAAAAATTACATTTAAAAACACCTGTAAAATAAAATAATAGAACTATTCGACACTTGCAATAAAAACGCCCTCTGACGAAATACAATTAGAGCACGAACTTGAAGCGAATCCTGATTTTATAGATTCTATAGACAGTACTTATTCTATTACCAAACAAGTAATGATATAATAATCAACACTAGATGTTATGGTATGGGAAATGGTGATGAAGGTGATCAGAGTTTCTTCCAGGCATCTCTTCGGGGGGCCGAAGCCCCCCCCCCCCCCCCCGAAAAATTTTTACCGCCCCCCCCCCCCCCGAACGAAATGAAATTTATATAATTTATATAGAAAATATATACTTTTAACAGTGTCCACCCCCCCCCCCGAAGAAAGTCTACCGCCCGCCCCCCCCCCCCCTCGAAAATTTCAAGTGCCCCCCCCCCCCCCCGGGAGAAAAAAGTCTGGAAGAAACACTGAAGGTGATTTTGTCTATTAAAAGAAAAATGGGAATAACACCATTGCGTCATAGCTAGGAAAGGTGTTTAATTAAATAAAACAGGTAAAGTAGCATTTTGTTGCAGAGTTCTTTTGTGGATCTGACCAAGGTATAAGAACTCATCTAGTGGTTAGC